GCTTTCACATGTATGTGAAGCAGAAGCGAGATGGGGTCATCTCAGGCCAGACTTTGCTGGCATTTTGTCTTTTTTCTTTGGGGAGGGGTCACGTAAAACTAATGTGCTGTGTATTTGAGATAATATTTTAAATCAATGGTTAAAATTTCATTTTGATCCATAAACTATTATACAGATTCTTGATTTGATCCCTAAACTAAAAAAATCTCTATTTGATCTCTATTGTTTACTATTTTGACCCGATTTGGTCATTTTGTTAAAAGTTTTATTACGTGTGTTGTTAATTCATTGTTATGAGACATGGCAAAATATTAATACACGTGGCAAACAAATAATAATATAAAAATAATAAAACTTAAATTTTTTTTTTCTTTTTCCTTCTCTTTCCCTTTCTCTTTACCCTTCCCCCTTAGAACCCATCGAACCCAGCAACCACCGTTGGGTTCATTCGAACCCAATGCTAGGTTCGAAAAAAAATTTTGTTTTTTTTTTCATGGGTTTTGTTATTTGATGATGAAAAAGAATTGATTGATGAAAAATGAAATCCTATTTCATTGAATTAATTGTTTGACTCAGAAAAATGGTGATAAAAGTTTTCTCGAAGGAGGCAAAGAGAGGGAAAAAGAAGGATGAATGAAGAAGATTCAAGAGAGAGGATGCTAGAGGAAAAAGATGAAGGTAAAATTGTAATTTTGGTGGGTTACATGGCATGAATATAACTTGTTATGTTGCCATGTCATCATTTTGATATGACATGTCTAAAATTTTTGCCATGTCATTAACTCACTGTGAGTTAACGGTGGATATTTAACAAAAAGATCAAATCGAGGTTAAAATAGTAACAATAGGGACCAAATCTCTTAAATCGGAGGTTTATACAATAGTTCAGGAACCAAAATGAAGTGTTGACCTAAATCAATAACACACAAAAATTATTTCAACATTTTGTTATTAAGATAGCATTGTTTCTTAAAATAATATCAAAATAATAAAATAGAATGAGAATGTTACTAATAAAATGTTTTGTTATGTAATAAGTTATAAAATATAGTGTTTTGCTGTTTTTCAATTAAAAAGTGTCCCAACTTATTACTAATTTGAAACTTTAATTCAAAATTTTTAAATTTTAATTTTAAGATAAATAGAGAAAATAATAAAAAATTAAAAAAATTCTATTATATAGTTTAAAATTTTTAATTTTTAAATTAATTCAGAGTATCTTAGTATTTTTAATTAATATTATATATTAAACATTTGTTTCCGTCCAAGTTTTAAAAAAAAAAAGTGGACTCACGCATTTGAAAGTCAAAAAGTTGAAAAAAATTAAGGTTAAATCTTTAATTTGGTTCCTGAATTATTGTAGGACTCTTTGATTTGGTTTTTATTGTTTACCAATTTCTCCTAAATTAGTCATTTCATACAAAAAAAGCTGACGTGTCTCGTTATTAATGTGACACGTGATCATTAAGTTACTGTTTTTTGTCGTTAAATTATTATTTTTCGTCGTTAAATACTAGACATGTCAATTTTTTTTTTACAGAAAAACTAATTTGAAGCAAATTGATAAACAGTAAATATCAAATCGAAGTACATACAATAGTTCAGGGATGAAATTAGAGATTTAACCAAGAGTTAATTAATGAACTGAGAAAAGGATTACCCAATAGGCGGTGGTGAAGCCAGCGATCCCAGAAGAAAGATGAATGACATAACCGCCGGAGTAATCCATGACACCCCAGTGAAACAAGAAACCACCACCCCACAAGCTGAACGCTCCGACGGTGTACGAAAAGGTCAGCCAAAGCGGCACAAACGCCATCCAAGCTTTTATGTTCATCCTCCCCAGCACCGATCCGGCCAGCAGGATCAGCGTGATCGCCGCAAACACGCACTGGAACCATACCATGGACGCCATGGGGTAATAGGGCGTCGCCTCGGCCGTCTCCACGGTATGGTTATGGTAGTGCTGAGTGGTCTGAGGTAGAGCGGCCTGCTTGATGAGAAAGTTCTGACCCAAGGCTGGCCCGGCTTTGCCCCAAAAGGGAAGAAGCTTGTAGCCAAAGGACATCTTGTAAGCCCAAGTAACCCAGCAGATGACGACGGCCGCAAAAGCGTAGAGGGCCATGAAAGCGGAGTTGACCGCCCATTTCTTCTTGACGATGCTGCCGTAGAGGATGACCA